GCCACCCTCCCAGGCAGGAATTCCTTGCCAAGATCCCAGCCCAAGCTCCCCTTTCCCAGTGGGATCCATTCCCTGTGTCCTGTCCCTGCAGYCCTTGGCCCCAGTCCCTCTCCAGCTCTCCTGGAGCCCCAAAAGCGGCCCCAAAAGGGGCTCTGAGCTCTCCCTGTGTCCTTCCCTTCTCCAGGGRAACATTCCCAGCTCTCCCAGCCTGGCTCCATGTCCAGCTGAGGAGTGCCAGGGCCCCTCAATGTCCTCACCTCGTGCTCCAGGGAGCTGTACTCGCCCTCGGTCTGCTCCCGGATGATCACCAGGTCCAGGTTGTTGTGCCGGGTCTGGTAGCCCGGCAGGCTCTTCACGTGCACCACGTTGGCAAACAGGTCCAGCTTCCTCCTGGGAAGGGGCAGYGGGATGGGGTCACCTGGGGCCATTCCCCCTCTCCAGGATCCCACGGTGAGCAGGGACAAATCCTGGCCATGGATCATCCCTCATGCATTTTGTTTCCCAGTAACTCATTAATTACTAATTAATAGGGYTTTCCCAGTGACCAGTACTGGGGTTCAGCCCACCAATCTCCAGAATTCCCATGGCAKCAGGATCACAGTGAACAGGGACAGCTCACCACGGTCCCTCAGGGGTTTTGTTTCATAATCCCTCAGCATTTTCCACTCCCGGATAACTCATTAATGATGAATGAATTAATTAGTTTCCCAGCACCTGGCAGGTGAACAGAGCCCTCCCTCACCTGAGCCTCATGTCATAGGACGCCAGGTCTCCCTTGTACTCCATGGGCGTGTGGATCTTTCCTGCAGGACACGGAGCAGGATGAGGACATGGAGGAATTTTCCCCCAATGTCCAATCTAAACCTCCCCTGGCCCAGTTTGAGGCTGTTCCCTCTCCTCCTTTCCCTGTTCCCTGGGATGAGATCCCAAATCCCCCCGGCTGCTCCCTCTTGTACAGAGCCACAAGATCGCCCCTGATCCCCCTTTTCTCCAGGCTGAGTCCCTTTCCCAGCTCCCTCAGCTGCTCCTGGGGCTCCAGACCCTTCCCCAGCTCCTTCCCTGGACACATTCCAGCCCCTCAAAGTCTTATCCTTAAAGGCCCAAACCTGCCCCAGGATTCCAGGTGTGACCCCACCTGTGCCCAGCACAGGGGGAGAACAAGGACAAGGACAAGGCCACATTCCTTTCAGCTCCTCACCTATGAGGGCCACCTTGCTTTCCTTCATGGAATCCACGACCCGATCCAGCTTCTCCTCGGACGCCGTGTTCTGCACCTCGCTCAGGTGGTGCTCGTCAAAGACCACGGGGACATTGGCAGCCTGGGACAGGGACAGAGCCACTTGGTGTCACCTGGGACACAGCACTGCCCGTGACAGGGGGACATGGAGCCATGACCCAGCCAGGGCCCTGCTCAGGGAGAGCAGGAACTGGGATCATCGGACCTCTGCGTCACTTTGATCCCAATGGAA